AAAGGCTAAGAGATTGCAGCCGAAAAGCTGTCGAACAACTGCAAATGAGCAAACAAGGTTTTCCGACACAACGTGCTGTAGATTAAGCCATACAAGGCATGTGTGTGCACTGTCACATCCCCTATGCCGACGTCACCTCCGGAATGCACACTGTCGACATAGGCCATGATGCCGGAGGCCTGCTGGATCCCAGAAGTAGTAGGGGCTTGTCGGAGCGTTTTCGGCATGCCGCCGAAACCCTCCAAAGGCACCGATGTGCGAGGCAGCGTATCCGAGGATGATGCGGCCGCACAGGGGGTGAGGTCCGATTGTCCACTTGAAACTGTCTGCTTTCCTACTATTCTGCGCTTTGGAACTGGATTCTGTACTGGAGCTGGTTCGAAAAATTGTAAATCAGGTAAAATAATTCGGTGTGGATCTTTTTTGTGGTTAATTACCCAAGCGGGGGGCTTGGGCATTTTTGATGGAATGTTACATTTGGCTGACGGCAAATTACAATGTCTGTGCATCCAAGGCCATTCCTTACCGCATGTCTCACACCATAGTCGTCCAAAGTCCGATTCTTTGGATCTGTCTTTGCCACATTTCTGATTCCATGTCAACTTTTATGTCCGCCTTTGTTGTGCAATGTTTGCAGGTCTTGCCACGCTTGGGTTAATCTAAGGTTACGCATGGCACCTGGTTTTTGTAACCATTGCTCAGGCGGCAGCTTGGGATTTTTACAAGGCGTTCAGAGAGAATTTTGAGGCGCTGGTGCTTTAAGAATTTTGTGTACTTTCCACACTTCTGACAAAATACCCCTCCATCTTCTGATATTTTGAGCACATGCCCATTTTTGGGAAGAATACGAGTAGAAGCAGAGGAGGAAGTACCGGGCGCGGTGTGTGATTATTATATGGATGCGATGTCGAACTGGTATGGTCATCTGGCTGAGCTAATACGTTTTCTTCAATGATGAAATTATCAGGGCCATTGTACCATTCGTCAATATGAGATTGCCAAATACGGATCAATGCAGATTGGATTTGGATAACTTCGGAGGTACTGAGTTGGAGTACTGTTGGGACTATTGCGCAACAAGCAAAGCAAACTGGTAATCTGTCAGGACTGTCCGGCAAAAAAGAAAGAATGGGAGTGCGAATATCTTGGTAATTACTACAATGCCATGAGATATGCAAAAGGTCCGGTTCTCCATGACCGCAAGTGCATAACACCTTACCAGATTGTTTCTTATGCCTATGTTGTCGCTCGGGGTTCTGCAAGCCTCCTGTCAGCAGGAGACGCAACACTTTGAGTTTGGCGCGGGGATCTTCCAGAGGGTCAGGGTTTATTTCCAAGTCCGCATCACAATTACTCTGCAACTCATCAGCTTGTTGCATGAGAATCTTCAGTAATGCCAGCGTTTTTGGGCGATCTACACCCCCGGAGGTTCCAGCAAAATGCTGAGGTCTATCTCTTGTTAGAATTTTCCATACATGAGTTCGATAATCCTCACGTAATTGGTGCTGCCATTTTTGAGGGTTCAGCTGACCCTGCAGAGACCTATTCACAGTGGGACCAAAGACGGGATGTTGGATTAATTGCTGAACTCGCGCTGTTGGACCATCAAGGTTTGCTGGGAAATTTTGAAGCGCAAGACGTAACTTATTGACTTCTGCTAGATTCGGATGCATGCGTCGGATCAAATTAAAAGCACTGAGATGCAGATTGAATTCCGGATCTAAAGATGGCGATGCCAGGAGCGCAAATATTGCAAATGGTGCTGAGTTGTAATTCTGTACATTGAGAAGGGCCCTAACCACCACAGCTCGCATGGCTATGAGATTATCCTTAGAAGTGAAGAAAGAGCGCATCCCTTGTCCAAAGCTCAGTTTTGCCATCATACTTTGAATGATTCGGGTCTTGTGCTGCCGGGGGATCGGTAGCAATTGAATATGGTTCACCGAATACTGCCAAGCATGCTGACGCTGCTTTTCAAGTGCAGTCCACATCAGCGTGTTGGGTATCTTGATACTACAACCCACTAATTTAAAAGTGGTCTTGTGTTCATCAATTTCAGGAACCATATTTTCGAGATTTTTGTTTCCAAAGGTGAAGGATTTCTTTTTACTGATGGTCATTCCGGCAAGCTTCGAGAAGGTGGTTGTGTGCTTATAAATCCCCTGTATGTTAGTAGCAACTACATGCTTAGTCTGAGCTTCAACCAATCCTGACATGTCATCTGCATAAGCACGCAAAACTGCCGAGGGGATCTGACTTGATGTATATTCTAACCAAGAAGTGATGAGGGAAGTCAATAACAGCATGGACAGTGGGCAACCTTGTACTATGCCACACGAAGGTTTAAAATCTGCTGAAAAGTGGCCTTCCAATTTAAACTTTTTAATGTGTTGAGCATAGAATGCCCGCAGGGTCTGCACAACTCGGGAATCCGCACCTCTTATGAGGAATACATCGCGTGCTAAGTTAAATGGAATCGTGTCGGAACATTTGTGGAGATCAAACGAGATCCCCGCCACACAATGTCCAGAGCGTTGTGCATCTTCCAACTGTACTGTACACAAGTTTGATATGCCAGCTGATCGGCGGAGGGCGAACCTTTACTCCCAAAGGAGTTGGGATGTTGCCACAAAGGAAACCAATGTTGTGCCATCTGTGAAAATGCCGTGTGGCCACCCATACTCGATAGATACAGGATAAAATGGTTATGGGTCGGAATTCGTGCGGCGTGGGGAATGGACTATCAGCATCCTTAGGGATGAAAACAACTCCTCCCTTGGTTAGGACTTTTGGCCATTTCTGACTTTTTTCAATCGTCTGATAGAGCGTGGCTAACGACTCCAGAATGGTAGGAGACCAATTGGCAGCAAGTTGGAGTTCAACTGCAGTTATTTGATCTAATCCAGGGGCACTGAGGCTCATATTATTGATGGTTTGGCCTAAAACCTTAGGGGAAATCGGGTCTAACTTTATAATGGAGTTACGCAAAGTGGGCCCGCACTTTTCCATAAAGGCTCTAAAGGACGGTTCTCCATTCTGATGATGCGAATATATCTCCTTCCAAACTTTTGCAATGCTATCCAGTCGAGCGCATGAGTCTGCTGTAGGTTTACCATCAACCATAGAGACCTTCGTCGGGGGGGGCTTTTGCTTTGCTTCGAAGAAAGTAATATGGCTGCGAGTTCGATTTCCTGATATTACGTTTCCAGGCCAGAATTCTTTGGCTCTTGTCCAACCTGTCGTTACTTTCCATCTCATTGCTTATAATGTCCTACCTGATCATAGCTCTGCTTTTGCATAGCTTCGGAAAACTCCTCAGCATGGATAGGAGACAGATAAGGTAAGACTTCCCAAAGGTTATCAATAGTTCTATCCCTTCTAACCCCGTTTTGGGCTTTAGTGATTTCAATTATACGGCAATGCGCTTTCCATAGTTTCCGCCCAATCAGTGTGTTGAAGCTTGCTGTCGACAGGTTTTTGGGTGTGCTCTCTGTTCGTGAAAGGTGATGTTACCGCGCTTGGCTGCCTGCTTGATTGGCCTTGCATGACCTTGCAGCTGCGAAACTTGCAGCAACACACGCTCAAATTCCAGAGACCAGTATTGAAAGGCTCGGTCGACATCATTCTGAGCTATTGCTTCCGAAAACTTGGAGGAAAGTTGAGAAGGTAGTGGATTATCATTTTGGGTACGTTTGGATAACTTAGGAACTTCACAAACCTGGCGCAACGTGGTCTTCATCTGAGCTGCTGCCGGAGCATATATCTGCGCTGTGACAAGTGAGTGATCTTTAAATTCAGGCAATTTGTGAACAGAAAAATCAAAGGTTTGGTCGAACATCGCTGATGAAACAGGTGGTCAATCTTTGATCCTTTGCCGACATGACAGGTGGGGAGGTCTCTGTTATCTGGCAATGCTCTTTCGCGTGCATCACAACAAAAGCGCGACCGAAGACACTGTTTGAGAGGATAATAATCATCTAGTATCTAGTTCCAGATTAAAGTCGCCTGCTAGGACACTAGGGATTTGTCCTCTTTCGATCCGATCATGTTCAATTGCCTGCAACATGGAATGAAAATACTGCCATTTTGATTTCTCCCATCTGGCACCTGAGGGGCCATAAATGCCATACACCACGATGGAGATGCCACCGTGACCTGTCCAAAGTTGCACAGCTGTGAGACAACCGTCTTGGTGAAAACGGAAACAGGGATGCTCGGATGTCCATGATAAAGATTGTACGGACCAGAACTTCTCTTTTCTCGCTAGCACGGCCGTGCCAGCAAAGTGTCTCTGGTCGGGGTCCAGGCCCCAACTGCAAACAAAGCTCTGAAATAAATGAGACTCGGAATGTTCCAAATGGGATTGCAAGTGTGTTTCTGATAGCACAATGATTTCCAAATCTAAGCAATTTATTCTCTGTCTCTTTGTGGATTGTTGCACACCCCCGACATTAAGGGAACCGATCTTCAGAATGTTCTCTTGTATACGATGCGTTTGTCTCTAGGATTTATGTTTTGGCGTGTTACCAACAAGCATGTGCATTAATTTATTACGGATGCGAGCTGCAATGAACCACTGTTTCCTGCTGGAGCCGGTCTGCATTGGTGTCACATAGGGAGTGAGACAAGTTAAGTCTCTCTTTGGTTCTTTGGTTCCGGCGTAAACCCGGTTTTCCCTTCCGTCGGGCGCTTTGTGGCTTCCTTGGTAGGTGAAGCCGTTGCATGCTGCTTTGGGAGTGGCCTGTGAACCTGCTTGAAGAAGGCCTGTTGTCGAGACATCGCTGAGTCACTGGATGCCGCTTTAGCTGCGGGACGGCTGGCTTTCGATTGATTTCCAGCCTGTTCCTTGGCAACAGAGTTCAAGGCTTTGAAGGTGAATTGTCTCTTGGTTCCATTGCAAATGAAATAGCCTGGTGTATTGTCTCCACATTTCAAAGGTAAGAAAACGCCATTGCTTTTCTTCAGATAAAGCACTTCTGTATCTTCAAAGCCGCGTTGGGCTAGGAGCCCCAGCAGTCCATATGTACCAACAGTGATGTCCACGCCGGAGATCTTCCATCTGCCATACAATGTGATGTATCACGAATACCATTTGACTTCGCGAAAGCAGCCATTGACTCCTGATTGCGAAGTCGTAGTGCCAACTTGGGTCGTGCAGCCCCTCCTTTCCTGGCGACTCCAAAACAAGCTTTGTCCGAGGCCATTGTCAATGCGTCTGCGAGACTGACTTCTTCCTCAAGCCATAGCAAATGGTATTCAGTGGATGGAGTGGACTCCTTGACGAAGAAATTTCCCTGACCTGAAGCTCGCAGAATTGTATCCACAAAATCAGCGTGGACGTAGAATGTACAACTTCCATCATGACGTGTTTGCACCTCAGAAATGGCTTCCTCTGGAATATGCTTAGTCAGCTCAGTCATCACCAAGGCCGCTGGCTTTTGACCAGCTGGCCAACCCAGGGCTTCCGGCATTTTGCCAGTCATTTTGCGTAAGGTGAAGTACATGTCGGCTTGATCTCCTTGCATGACCTGCTGAACGTGTGCTCCGAAGCCTATCTGTACCAGATATCTCATCACAGAAGTTTCCACCCTGTCACCATCGTCATTTAATGCAAGCAAGCGGATACGAACTCTTTCTTTGTGATATCCAGCTAGTCCAAGTCTTTCTGGTGGTTCCGTCAGAAGGATAGCAACTTTGTGAGCCGTGAAACCCACACGGGCAATGACATCAGCCAAATCCCTGCGGGGAACCAGTGCTATGCCATCCTGTTTGGACAATGACTGATGTGGGACAATGGGATCATCCCACTCCTCCTGAACTAAAGAGCTCTGACTGCGAAGTTTTGCTGCCTCTGGGACAACAGCACTTACAGCTTCCCTGATTTCAGCGGTGGGATCTGACTGGCTGCTCTGCTCAAGGGGTATTGCTAATGACATAGGTTCTGCCTTACCCTTCTTGCCTTTGCCTTTTCCCTTGCCATTTCCATTGCGGATGCCAATGGCTTTGTTTCTGTCTACATTTGACAAGTGCCAAGCCAAAGTGAAGTGCCATCGCGTGACCAGTGCAAATAAGGTAAGCAGAAGCATCCAGGTCCATCTCTTCAATCTTTTAGCGCTACTTCGTCTGCAACTGTTCTTTTTCCATCGGAAACGTCTGCTTCCAATGCGTCTGGCTGCAATCAAAATTGGAAATTTCTTCACAGAACAAAATGTGGGCAACATTTTGGGCAAAAAGCCCCTCAAAGATAGAATTGCATTCAGAATCCACGCAAGAGCGCAAAACATGAATATGGAAGTAAGCGAGACATGGAGAAATGGCTGCATGTTGCAACCTTTAAAAGCCAAGTGGCTGAGCAAAAGACAACATCGGATACTGCAAATTGGCACTAGTAGGAAATGCTTCATCAAAGCACGGTGCCATCTGTCACATGAGACATGTATTTGCTTGCACTGTCTCATCTCGCCATGCAGTTCTCCACCTCCGGTATGCAAGCATCAGCATGGGTCGTCGATGCCGGAGGGCCTGCTGGATCCCAGAAGTAGTTGTAGCTTGTCATTGCAGTGGAACATGCCGTACCACCACAAAGTGCCAGGGACGCCTCATCCCACACCTGAGCGGGGAATGGGCGGGGCGTGGCCATTGTGTGTCACTGTTTGTTTGCCCACGATTCTGTGTCGCGGTACGCTTACTGCAGACTGGTCGTGATTCTGTATGGGATGCACACGGAACTTGAGTCGATTGGGATTTGCACGTTCAGAGACCACCCAGGCGGGCGAAACAGGGGGGTTCTGAGTTGGTATACATTTTGTTTTAGGCAAATTGTTATGCCGGTGCATCCAAGCCCATTCTCTGCCACATTTTTCACACCATAGTTTCCCGAATTCAGGCTGGTTTTTGTTTTTGCCGCACGTTTGATTCCAGAAAAGCTGATGCTTAGGTCGGTTATGTTTTTCTAGTAATCTTGTTCCAGTTGCGGTGCACTAGAAAGGGGAGGCAAGTTAGGATTTTTGCAAGGACGCGATAAAATCTTGAGACGTTGATGTTTGAGGAGTTTTGTAGACTTTCCACAGAGCTGACAGAAGACACCTCCTTCCGCCATGAGTTTGAGAATATGACCGTTTTTCGGAACCGGTCTCGCGAGAGTAACTGTTTCGGATGATGATGCTGCGTTCGGATCAGAGGATTGTGGGATATCAATAATGGGTTGTGGATTATCGGGTTTCTTTGAGATTATCAGGAAATTTTCGTCACCATGACACCAATCAGCAATATGGTGTTGCCAAATCTGGACCAGAATATCTTGTACAAAAACCACGTCTTGCATCTCCATATCCATTTGTTGAGGTATGATGGCACAGCATGTGAAACATCGAGGAAGTTCTTCAAGAGGCATTAGAAGTTTGTCGAAAATAGGTTGTCGTATTGCTGAGAAACGAGGCAACACCATGCTATATGGTGCAGCGTGGGCTCGCCTGTTTTACACAGGCATTGCACATGTCCCTCCTTTTGCTTGTGTCTATGTTGTCGTTCCGGCGTTTGCAGACCGCCAGTCAAAAGCAATCTCAGCACCTTGAGTTTAGCGCGAGGATCATCTATTGGGTCAGGATTGATCATGGTACCTGAGTCACATTGGCTTTGTAGTACGTCAGCTTGATCTTTAAGTATGTGCAAATACTTTAGCGTGCGTGTGCGGTCAACCCCACCAGTGATGCCTGCAAAGTGTTGGGATCTGTCCCTGACTAGGAGTTGCCATGCCTGTGTTCGATATGCTTCTCGGAGATCATGTTCCCACTTGTGCGGTAATATTTGTCATGGATAAAATCACGCATCACGGAACCAAATACCGGACTATCCAGTAATTGCTTTGCACGAGCAACAGGCCCATCCATGTCCTCCTGCAATTTGGGGATTTTGTCGAGCAGAATTTTCCGTGCTTCAGTGTTGGAATACATGCAGCGTATTAGTTGGAACGCGCTGAGGTCCAGCGCGAAGACTGGATCAACTATCGGTGGTGTTATAGTAATGCAAACACAGCGTTAACCGCCGAATTATAGTTATCTACATTCAACAGTGTCCTAATCACTGTGGCACGCATGGTGCGGGCTGTATCTTTGGGAATCTGGAGAAAATGTAAACCCTGACCGAATGTTAGCTTTGGCATCATACTGCGGATCAAGTTAACTTTTTCAAAACAGCTTATCGGGAGGATGCGAATGCGCTGTATAACCGATTTCCAGCTTTGAAAGCGTTCATGTTCAAGTGGCGTCCAGCGCTTAGCCTATTTGAGCTTGACACTACACCCAACTAGGCGAAATGTGTCCATGTGCTCTTCGATGTGCGGCACACATCCACGATAATCTTTTGCTCCAAATGTGCACGACTTCTTTTTGCTGATTGTCATGCCAGCGAGTGAGGAAAATTTTTCGGTTTCTTCATATACTTTGACAAGTGCAGTTTTGACTATTTGCTTGTTGTTTCCTACTGCAACCGCAGACATGTCGTCTGCATAGGCACGACTTACTGCGGATGGAATGGAAGTCTCGTTATGCTCTAACCAGCACGTGATGACGGATGTTAAAAGAAGCATGGACAATGGACAGCCCTGGAGTATTCCACACGTAGGTTTGAAAGAATCACTGTGATGTCCTTCCAGGCGAAAGAACTTGGTATGGCTTTTGTAAAAACTACGCAATGCTTGAACAACACAGAGATCAGCCCCTCGTGCTGAGAAAATGTCGAATGCTAAGGTACATGGCACTGTGTCAAAGCATTTCTGAAGGTCAAAAGCAATGCCGGCTGCATGCAAATGATCAACTGACGCAGTTTCGATTTGCAAACATGTTTCATATGCCAGTTGATCAGCGGATTTTGAAAATTTCCCACCAAATGCTTCCATAATGGAAACCATGTGTCAACAAGGTGGGAATGTCTTACAGCGGCCCAAAGTCGATATGCGGTGTTCAAAATTGTGATAGGCCGAAACTCATCAGGTTTGGGTTGTGGATTATTAACGTCCTTTGGAATGAAGGGTACCACACCTTTAGTGAGAACCTGAGGCCATCTTTGGCTGTTTTCAATGCAGTTGAATAATTCAGCTAAATCGGTTAACAAGGTAGGTGGCCACGATGCTGCAAATTTGAGCTCAGTCACCAAGATCTGATCAAGACCAGGCGCACTGTTCTTCATCTGGTGGAGCACCTGCGACACGTGCGCACCCTGAATGCTACCAAGATCAACAGTTTGGGACCTCATGGTGGGCCCATATCGAGACATGAAATGATAAAATGTGGGTTCACCTTGCGAATGCTTGGAGTAAATGGCTTTCCAAACTTGGGATATACTGTCCAACCGGGATCGAATTTCTGCAGTCACTGAATTGTTCACTTGTGACACCTTGACAGGTGCGCTGGAAGCTTTTGTCGTTAAATACTGGAATGATTGTTTGGCATCACTTCGTATTTTGCGTTTCCAATGCAGAATACGCTGCTGCTTGTCCTCTTTAACACTGGTATCTAGGGTCAGTGGGATAATTTTTAAGGCATGCTGAAAATTGGAGCAATTGATTGCCGTGACGAAATCAGCAACTTAGTCCTGTGGCAGCCACGGTTCGACTTTGGCAACATTTACAATTGTACGATCTCTTCTTGTACCAGGTGTTGCTTTAATAATTTCGGCTAGTTGGCAATGAGCCTTCCATAGTTTACGTGTCGTTAATGTGGAGGCATGATCCTGGACTGTCTTAGGAAATTTCCTCTGGTCGTGAAAAAGGACTTGACCACGTTTTGCAGCAGCTTGACCTGTTTGGGCATCAGGTAATTCGGTAATTTTCCAGCAATAATAAAGAGAACCCTCTCGAATTCTTGTGACCAGCATTTGAATGCTGCATCGACATCATGCGTGTTTAGTGCCTTTTTAAAGTTGGGAGATATTGCACTGAGTATCTTGCGTTCATCCTTCGTCGGGAAAGGCAAGACTACAGGCAGCTTTGTTACAGATCGAAGACTTTTGATGTTCTGTTCTGAATGAGGAATGCCCACCTTTACCGTGAGAAGTGAATGGTCTTTGAATTCATGATGTTTTACGATGGTAAAATGACTAGAGAGATCGTATAGATTGGGAGAAACCCAGATATGGTCAGTGAACGAGCCTTTGCCTTTGTGACACGTTGGTGTGTTCTGCATTTCAAGTGAACTAGGGTCACGCGTGTCACACCAAGATTTTAGCTGTAAGGCTTTTGATAAGATCTTAGAGTCATCGATTTGGAGGTTGAAATCGCCTAGAAGTATGGTTGGTAGAGCACCACGTTGGATTCGGTCTTCCTCAATTGCTTTGAACATTTCATGAAAGTACGTACGTTTGTCACTTTCCCAGCGGGCTCCACTGGGTCCATAACAAGTGTAGACTAGCATATTGACATTGCTCCGGTGCCATACCACGGTTGCACTGCCAGCAAGCGATTATCTGCAAAAAACTTATAACAGCTGTTGTCGGGTGCCCACTTGATCACAGAACTTGCCCAAAAAGAAGCTTTGCGGACAAGGATTCCGATACCTCTGAAATGCCTGTCAGCTGGGTTAGGACTCCAAAAACAATGGTATTCCGGATACAGCATAGCTTCACTGTGCTCTAAATGCGACTGAAGATGAGTTTCGGTGAGCCCTAAAACGTCGGCTTTGAAGTCGACAAGTCGTTTACGCTTTGTGGTTTCCTGCAGACCGCCAACATTGTGAGTACCAAAAAGGAATTGGGCTGATTTATTCAGTCGATGTCGTTGGCGCCAGGTTGGACTCTTAACGGCCGTGTTACCATGTGAGATATGCATTGCTTTGTTCAATTCTTTGGCACATCTATATATAAAGGAAGATCTGTCGGCTTTGTAGCTCAAGTGGTTGCATACAATCACGTTGTCAACTGCAACGTGAGCTGTGGAAATTGAAAGTATTTTCGGCACAGCCTGAGTCTTGGGTGCCAACATGGCGAAAGCTATCCGAACTGGCCAGTCAAGCACATATGTTAAGACACTGCACGCTGCGACTTTGTCTCTGGTGTGTTTCCAGTGTGACCTTGCGGAGGCCTAGCTTCTGCAGGTCGTCGAGGACTGGCTGGTTTCTGTTGCTGTTTTCGGGTAGCTGACGGCCAAACTTTTTCCAGAAATTCCGTTTGCATTGCGTTCCTTGTCTTTTTTTGATATGTTTGGGAACTAGACTAGAGTCTAGAGGCTGTTGCTGCGGCGATGTTTGCAGTCTTCATCATTTCTCTGGATCGACTGTTGATAGCTTTGAATCGCAGCAGTCAGTCGACCCCATTCAAGGAGTAGATCATGTCATGGCATTGGCCAACCGCTGTGGCTTCAAATACTAATTGGTTGTCGCCCAGAAAGATCACTTTGGCATCGCTCCATTCATGGTGCACTAAAAATGCTAGAGCACCGTGGAGTCCGATCGACGGGTGAACCCCAGTACATGTCCATCTCCCAGCCTTTGTGTTCACCTGGAGCTTGTTGCTTTGCACATACGAGTCGAGTGTTTTCAGATCCAGAAATCTCAGAGCGTAGCGCGGCTCATGAGCAGAGCCTTTCTCTGTGACACCCATGCAGCACTGATTCGTGTTCCGCAGCTTTTAGAGCTTGTTCCAGAGAACTTCCTTCATCCATCCATAACAATTCAAGCTCTGCAGACTCATCACCTTTTTTTTGTTTAATAAAAGCGCCATTCTGCCCTGAGGCTTGGAGCAACTGCAACTTGAACTGGTTTTGAAGAAGGAAAGAGGCGGATTGGTCTTCTCGGGGCTGCAATTCAGAAATTGCGAGAGTTGGCACATGCTTTATCTCATGCATGGAGATACTACCTGGCAGTGGGCCTTCAGCCCATCCATGACGCAATGGAAGTTTGATGACCATCGGCATTGTAGTTGTCAGCATCTGTACTCGAACACCAGACAATCTCTGCTGAACGGGTTCACCATACGACATTTGCACCAGATACCTTTCGACCTGGACGATTTGCCTTTGGCCGTCCGGACCCATGGCCGACAACTGTATAAGGAGACAAATTTGCGTGGATAACCACGTAGGCCAACCCGATCCGGCTGCTCACAAATGAGGATGAGACACGCTGGACAACCGAGGGTATTGCATTCTTTGGCACTAAGCTGATTCCTCCTCTGGCATCGAGAGATTGATGGGTCCTCACTTCAGCATCCCACTCACTTTGCAACAACTCAGATTGAGCCCTCAGCACCGCCGCTTGCGGCAGAACACGGGCAACTTGTGCAGCGATATCTTCGAGTGAATCTGGTCTAACAGCTTCGTTGACAGGCATTGCTTGCGTACTGGAGCTCTTGCCTGCGTGTTTACCACGTCCTTTCCCCTTTGGAGGGCCCCCATTACCACAAGCAGCATGCATACGTTTGTTTCTGTCCTTTCTGTAAATGCACCAAGCGAGTTCAAATGTCCAAGCAAAAATGACATACGCAAAAATGAGCCACAAATAATGCATGAATCTGCGTAGGCCAGTACCCTTTGTGCGGGTTCTCCTCTTGGGATGTCTGTGGCGTCTCTTTCCGACAAATCTGGCATGCTTCGCTTTCAGGTGGGCAGTAAAGATCGGTTTGCCGTTTGGCAGGAAGCTGCTACAAAGATTCCAGAGACATAAAATGGCATGAATCAGGCGGCACAAAGTAAGGCCGCATATGGAAAATATGGAAAGCGGGGTTGCAATGCGATGCAACATCGTGACTGAACCAGTCTTAAGCAAAAAGGCATTAGGTAACAAGAAGCAAACAAGAAGTGACACAGCAAGCACAAAAAGTGCGATGGCATTTATGTCTAACAAGACCGTTGTGTGCACTGGCTCACCGTCCTCACCAAGCTCACCTCCGGAATGCACACTCTTGGCAAGGACGTAGGTGCTGGAGGGCCTGCTGGATCCCAGATCTAGTAGTGGCTTGTCAGAGCGCAGTCTGCATGCCGCAGAAGCCCTCTCGAGGTGCATCGTTTAGCCCACACCTGTGCGTGGCACATCTCTTGAAGATGCAGCATATATGAGTGTGTGGGCTGCGATGCGAGAGATGGATCAGGCTGCTTACCAACGAGTCGTCTCGTAGGCAATTTTTTCGGCATAACTACTTCGGATGATGGGGCAACTAATGGTTCGAAAATGAACAACTGGGGGTTGTTTTTGGCCTCAGTAACCCATCTCGGGGGCTCTGGGGGGTGATCTGGTTTAATACATTTTGTTTTTGGCATGTTATTATGTCGATGCTTCCAAGCCCATTCTTTCCCACATTTTTCACTCCAGAGGAGGCCATAATCATCCTTTTTGGAACTCTCTTTACCACATTTTTGGTTCCAGAAAATCTGATGACCGGGTTTGTTGTGAATATGATTAAGGTCCTTCCAGGCTTTTTACAAGCGATGTTGATTATTAATGGCACCTGGTGCTTGTAGCCATTTATCGCGAGGTAGATTGGGACTAACACAGGGTTTGGACAAAAAATTTAGACGCTGGTGCTTTTGAAGCTTGGTAGACTTGCCACACTTTTGGCAGAAGACACCTCCACCATACATAATTTTAAGGACATGGCCATGACGCGGAAGCGGCTCCGCAACTGTCCTGTCAGCTCCATTATACCAGTCGTTAATATGCAACTGCCAAATCTGCACTAAAACTTGCTGCGTTAATATGACGGTGTCGTCGTCGATAGGAAAATTCATGGGCACAATAGCGCAGGAGCGAAAGCATTCCGGCAATTGATCAACTGACATTGGTAAGTTGGAGAGTACATCTTGACGAATATGTTGAAAGCGAGAGCAAACCCATGAAATGTGATGAAGAGATGGCTCGCCGTTTTTACAAAGGCACAAGACTTTGCCATCTTTATTCTTGTGCCTGTGTGTTCTCTCCGGGTTTTGAAGTCCACCGAAGAAAAGCAAGCGTAAGACCTTAAGTTTAAGCGGTGGTCCTGCTCAGGAGTCGGGCCGATTTCTTCATCAGCATCACACTTCTTTTGCAGATCATCGGCTTCGATCTGAAGGCGGTGAAGCCATAAACAAGTTTTGGCACGATTCACTCCCATCTGAACTCCGTCATAGTGCTGAGCTCTGTCTCTGGCTAAATTTTCCCACATGTAAGTTCTATATTCTGTGCGCAACTCGTGCTGCCATTTATGGGGTCGCAGCCGTTCCTGAAGGAACTGCAACATAGTGTTTCTGAAGAAGGGGCTGTCTAAGAGCTGCTGGATACGAGCTACTGGGTCATCATGGGTATGATGGTGTGCTGTTAATTTAGTTTGCAGCTGACGCCTTAAATGTGTAGTGGCAAAATTGCGGCGAATGAGATTAAATGCACTGAGTTGAAGCGCGTAAGCTGGGTCAATGCTGGGAGGTGCAAGGAGTGCGAAAATCACATTTGGTTCGGAATTGTAATTATACGCGTTAAGGAGTGCTCGTACCACTGTGGCACGCATGGATCGCATCACATCCTTGGAAGCGTGTAAGACATGCATTCCCTGGCCAAAAGTGAGTTTTGGCATGATACTTTGCAATATGCTTACCTTCGCATTCCAACTTTGTGGTAAAGTTTGAATACGTTGAACCACTTTGACCCATTCAAGCATACGTTTTTGCTCTGAAGGGGTCCACATCAATTGCTGAGGAATTTTTATGCTGCATCCGACTAACCTAAAGACAGACTGATGATCTTGAATTTGAGGCACTGCGTTTTTCAGGGATTTGTGCCCAAAGGTAAAGGTTTTCTTCAGGTTTGTCTGTAAACCAGCAGTGGAAGTGAATTTCTGCGTGCTATAATGAATTTTCTGAAGACCTTGTTGGACCGTCTTTCGGTTTTCACCTTCAAGAACCGAAGACATGTCGTCAGCATAGGATCTGGATATCGCTGATGGTATCGCTTCCTCATTATGTTCTAACCAACATGTGACAAGGGATGCGAGAATTAACATTGACAGCGGGCATCCTTGGACGATACCGCAAGACGGTTTGAAAGCTTTGGAATAATGACCATCGAGTCTGAAATGTTTTGTATGCGCGTTATAAAAGCTCCGCAGTGCTTGGACAATAACGACATCACAGCCACGCGTGAGAAATAAGTCGAGCGCAAGATTAACGGGTACTGAATCAAAGCATTTGCGGAGGTCATATGATAAACCAGCCGCAATGTGTCCACGTGCATGAGCATCAGCGAGCTGCAAACATGTTTCATAGGCGAGTTGGCCAGCAGAAGAAGAAAATTTACCCCCAAATGCCTTCTGATGCTTCCACCACGGAAACCAATTTTGCGCAAGTTGCGAATGTCGTGTGGCTGACCATAACCGATAGATTGTAGAGAGAATAGTTATGGCCCGGGCCTAAATTCATCGGGCTGAGGAGCTACTTGTTCAGGGTCTTTAGGTATAAAAGCAACCGCTCCTTTGGTCAGGTCGTCCGGCCAGACACCTTGACGTTCTACAAGTCGGAGAAGGGAGCATAGATTTGTTATTAATTCCGGTGACCAAGAAACAGCAATTTGCAATTCAAGAGTAGCAATGTGATACAAACCAGGTGAACTAATACGCATCTGCTGAGGGACAGAGCCAAGGAGCTGGTCAGAAAGAGGATCGAGATTCGATGGATGGGTCTTGAGAGTTGGACCATATGTTTCTAAGAAACGACGAAAGCTAGGCTCACTTTGCTTGTGCAACGAGTAAATTTTCTTCCAAACGGGTCAATGCTACGAAGACGGTCAACCGTGTTGGCGGTGGGTTTGCCGTCAACATCAGGGCAATAGCTGCTTTTTGTTTGATACGCTGAAAATTAGCAGTGAGGTCTTTACGCAAAGAACGTTTCCATGCCTTGATACGCTGCTGCTTATCTTCAAAATCATTAGCTTCAAGAGCCAGCTTCAAAGTGTTCGCAACAGCCGGGTAGTCGGCTTGAGTCATGGAGAGATGAAATGCTTCCACATGTGCTGATGACAACCAAGGGGCAACTGACCACAAATTATGAATGGTGCGGTTTCTTCGGGTACCTTGCGCAGCCTTTAAAATTTCTTGGGCTTGACAATGAGCTTTCCATAATTTTCTACCTTTTAAAGTGCTGGCTTGTTGAAAAACAATTCTAGGATGCTTTCGTTGCTCATGCAAAATAACTTGTCCTCGTTTTGCAGCTGCCGTGTTGGGCACCACCGTGCCGTCTTTGGTAGCAATTTGCTTTAAGATATATTCAAAGTCCTGAGTCCAAATTTTGAAGGCTAAATTAACGTTGTGTGAATCTAGTGCACTTTTGTATTCTTTACTACGTTGGCATGGAATGAAGGCGTCCTCCTTTTCTGCTTTCCGCAGACCAGAAATCTGTACAACAGAGCGTAAACTCGTGCATGTCTGCACAGCTGCTGGACACAGGAGCTTTCCAGCAATTAATGAATGAATGATCTTGAAACTCAGGGTAACTTTGGATGTGAAAATCAAAACACTGGTCAATGAGCGACGGTGACACAAAAATGTGATCAATTTGGGAACCTTTACTTTTATGACAGGTTGCTTTAGAAGACTCAGTGGGGTTACCTTTGGCACGCAAGTCAAACCAGAATTTTTGTTGAATCGCTTGGCGAAGGACAATCGAATCCATTATCTCTAGATTAAAGTCACCAAGCAGAATACAAGGGATTTGTCCTCTGGAAACTCTGTCAAATTCAACAGCTTTGATTAGATTAGATCATGGACATAAGCACGTTTCGTTCTCTCCCATCTGGCGCCTGATTGTCCATACATGCCGTACATGGTGAGGGCAGTACCTCCCCGAGCATACCAGGCTTGCACGGCTATTAGTCTACCATCCTGAGCGAAAGGAAAGCATGGATGTTCTGAAGTCCATTTCAACTCTTGTGCAGACCAAAATTTTGATCGCTTGATTAAGATTCCCACTCCACTGAAATGCTTATCTCCTGGGTTACATCCCCAGAAACAGTAATAATCTTTAAGTTGTTGACTTTCTGAATACTCCAAGTGGTTTTGGAGGTGAGTTTCGGTCATCACGAAAATGTCATGATCAAGATTTCTAATTCTTTGACGTTTCACCGCTTCTTGCAGTCCACCAATGTTTAGAGTGCCAAAAGAGAAACAAGAATCTGGAGCGAGCTGATTTTGATGATACCATGACTTCGTAGGACCATGGTTGCCATTTTTGATGTGCATAAGTTTATTCCATAGCGCTATTGGGAGCATCCACTGTACTCAAATGCATAATTTTAAGATATTTTAAGCATGCATTGATTGGGCCAGTGCAACCTTTCCGTTCTTTTTCCAGCAGTAGGAGGCATCGCGAACTTTCCGGGACGGTGGTGTTTGACCTGTCTTGTCTTCAGCTTGTCTTTTGTCGTCAGGCTTTCTCTGTCGAGGCGAAGATGATAACAAATCAATGGAAGTAACTTCGAGCGCCAACTTTTTGAGGAATGCGGTTTGTCCTTGCGAGCCCACTGAGCTGGAACTTGTCTTGACAGCAGTGTTACGGTTTGACTTGGATTCGTCTTCTTGCCACTTGCGAGCTACAGCATTGAGGGCCTTGAAACGAATAAGCTGGATGCTGTTCTGAGCAACTTTGTATTGCAGGGGGTTGGTCTTGCCACAAGATTCGGACGTAAAAACACAATGCTGTGCACCGAAATAAAGAAGCTCCGATACCTGCCACCCTTGCGACTCGAGAATACCAATGGCACCCGCGGCTCCAACGCTGGGTAGCAGGCCATCTACTCTCCAGCGACCAAGCATTGTCGGATCTGCGAGATTATGCGCCTTAGCGAACTCTGCCAATGCCGTGCTGTCTTCGAAACGGATAGCAAACCGAGGAGCCGCTTTTTGCATTCTTTGCTATCACTCCAAGTGTTCCTTTGCATGTCATATCCAGCGCTGCTTGAAGCGAGGTGATTCAGGAAGCCACAACAATTCTGTGGGAAAACGAGATTCGTCAGTCTGATGAACTTTCAACAATGTTTCAATCATTGGTTCATGAATCATCAAGGTAGCAGAACCATCTTCTCTGCATTGAAGGCTTTCCACTCCTTGTAAATCAACGTGTTGAGACAACAGGCTTGAGACAGTGTTGCCTCGAATGGTGTCCGGCGTCCAACCGAAAGGAGCTAGGTAATTTCACGACTACTTTCAGCATGGTTCTGGGAATGTCAATGCACTCACCAACCGGCTGCATTGTCACTTGGGGTCCAAATCCTAACTGGATGAGGTACCGTTGTACCTGGACTGATTTCTTTTCTCCGTCATCGTTCAACACTTCGAAGCGACAATTGATCTGCTCACAGGGGTAACCCTTCATGCTCATCTGCAAGGCAGTCTGGGTTGTCAACATTGCCACTGAATTCCGGGTATAACCTACTTGGCGTAGCACAGACGGTACACTGGCTCGTGGCACAACTGCAATTCCAGGAAGAGCCGACAACTCAAAGGCTGCTGGGATGATGAGCTTGCTTGATTTGGATTTTGTTTTCCTACTAAACGTCGTCTTGGGGCTGCACTGGACGCAGCATCGAATGCAATGTCAGCACTATTTTGGAGTACTGAGAATGATGGATTACCTAGGAATGTTCTCACCCATTCCGGCGGGGATGGTGCAGGATTTGTCGGAATACATGGCGCTGAATTGGGCAGATTGGAGGTACGATGCCTCCAAGCAAATTACCTGCCACAAGCGCGGCACCATAACCTGCCATAATCTGCTTCTTTTTGGTGGATCTTTGCCGCACCTTTCATTCCATATAAAATCGTGGCCTGGCTTGTTATATACTTGTTGCAATTCTCGCCATACCTGATTCAATCGATTAGGATTATTCAATGCGGGCTACCCTGGGTAAAATCACTAGGGTGACCCCCCAAAATAATTTTTCAGAATTATTCTGAGGTGCTTCAGTACATAACCCACTACAAAATATTTTTTTCCAAAACACTCTAACCATCCCAAAATAATATCCTTTATCACTACCCACCTCCTCAAAATAATTTCTGAAAATTTGCAAATAAATTATTTTGTAGGGTTCTACTATTACTCAAAACCACTTCCCTTAGTTCAAAATAATTTTGGAAATTATTTCAAGGTGGTTTAAGATGGTTTTGGATGATTGAAAAACAAGTAGAACCACCTCAAAATAATTAGCAAAAATCCCCACAAAATTATGTTGGGGGGTCACCCTACCTATCCTCCCGAATGCACCCGACAAGCATTGTCGGAATTTCATGATTTAGACCATCGATTTTTGGACAAAGAAATCTGAATCGACCCCTTCCTACCCCATAAATTATTTTGGGGGTGGTCAACTACTAAACCACCCCAGAAATAATAATAGCCTAAACTGGCAAAATTAACTTCCCATTGAGTAGTTCAAAATCCAAATTGCCTCGAACAGACACACCCTGAGATTTACCATGAATTACTTGCTGAACTAATTATTTTTTAGAACATCGACTTAGCATCGGCTTTTGGGCAAAGAAACCTGAATCGATTCCTCTCTCCCCAAAAATTATTTTGGGGGTGGTTAACTACTAGACCACCCCAGAAATCCAAAAAAACCTAACCTTGCAAAACTCAACTTCCCTGGGATGTGTTGGGATTGACGGGATGTGGCTTGAATGAAGTTGGAAATGGCTGCAGATTGATTCAAAGAATATCCTGACTGAACATGTTGAAATATGTAGTTGAAATTTGATGTAATATGCTGAAATTATTTTGCAGGTGGTTTGCAAGTACCCCCACCCCATGAAATAATTTTCATCATGGGTGTCTGGTAATTATTTTATACAGTTGGAACTATATGAAATAATTTCCCCAGTTCAACTGAGAAATTATTTTGAGGTGCCTTAAGTTGTTTGTTTAAAATTATTTCAAGGTGCTTCAACCTCTGTAGGTGGAAAATTATTTTGCACCATCATCAAGGTACGGGTGCAAAATTATTTTGCTATGGCTCTTGTCGGGTGATTTTAACATAAAATTTATGTTAAAAATGGAAATTATTTTTAAAAAAAAATTGGAACCAACCCCCACCTCAAAATAATTTCCTAAGGTAGGACGCATATTATTCATGCACCCAGGCTTATCGACCCATAGATGTTGGGGCAGATCAGCGTTCCTACAAGGTTTATTGGGTATTTTGAGACGTTGATGCTTTAACAATTTTGTGGACTTCCCACATTTCTGGCAAAATACCCCACCGTCTGCTGTGATTTTGAGTACATGACCTTTTTGGGGAGCTGAGACGGTTGGTTGGGGGAAACTATTCGATTCAGGTGTTCTATTGCTAGACGCATTATTAGCAAAACTTTCACCGACAACCGGCTCTGGAATAACCTGAATTTTTCTGAACCATTGTACCATTCATCGATGTGGGATTTCCAAATATGAACCAAGGCCTTTTGAATACAACATCTTGATGGGGAATCTCGAAAGAGGCTGGCACAATTCCACAACATCGGAAGCAAGTAGGAAGTTGTTCTATGGAGTTAGGCAGCAACGATAAGATTGGTTCACGAATGGAGCGAAAATTTGCACAATACCATGATATATGCACCAAGTCTGGAGTGCCCTGCTTGCATGTGCACTGAATATGGCCCTGATGCTTTTTATGGCGATGCTGACATTCCGGGTTGTGAAGGCCTTCCGAAAGTAATAGACGCAAAACCTTGAGTTTGGCACGGATCCTCACTTGGTGGGGGATTGGTAGCCACTCCCATGTCACACCGTGTCTGCAAATAATCGGCTTCAATCTGCAGCATGTTTAAGTATTGCAAGGTCGCAGGTCTGTTGATGCCTGCATTGCAACCTGCAAAATGCTGTGGGCGGTCACGACGCAATAACTTGAATAGGTGTGCACGATGAGCTTCCCGAAGGTCGTGTTGCCATTTATATGCAGGTTAAGCCGGTTATGTAGAAATGATTCCAATGTTTTCCCAAATACTGGGTGTTGTAGTATCTGCTTGACTCGAGCAATTGGTCCATCAGCAGTAGCAACATGATTTTCAACCTGTATTCGTAGTTCATCAATATCATCCCGGCGGACAAACATCCGTCGAAGTAGATTGAAGGCACTAAGATGGTATGCATATTCTGGGTCAATGGTTGGCTTGGTAAGAAGTGCAAAGATGGCATGCGGTGAAGCGTTGTAATCGTGTGTGCCAAGCAAAGTCCGGATCACGTTCGCTCTCAAAGATCTGGCGTTTTCAATAGAGAGTTGGAGACAATGCATTCCCTGGCCAAACGTTAATTTGGACATAACACTCTGGATAATATCAGTCTTATCTTTCCAGCTTCGAGGGATGTGTTGCACCAACTGAACCACAGCTTGCCACTGCTCCTTTCTTTGCTTTTCAAGTGGAGTCAAGCCTTTGGCATTGGTGAGTTTGATACTGCATCCAACGAGTCGGAATGTGTCACAATGGCCCGGAACATCAGGAATGTGATTTTTGAAATCTTTGTTACCAAAAGTGAAAGTTTTCTTGGCGTTAATGGTAAGGCCTGCAGTTTTTGTGAAATCTATACTTTTGGAAATTCCTGAGATACAACATGTTTGCTGGAATCTACTGTCACGCATGACATGTCGTCAGCGTATGAACGCGGCACCGATACTTTTGTGTGAGCTTGTAAATTTTCCAACCAAGAGGTGACCAAAGATGTGAGGATTAACATACTTAAGGGGCAACCTTGAACTATACCACATGTTGGTTTATATGATGGTAAATAGGAACCTTCGAGTCGAAAAAAATGATGAGATATGTAAAATGATCGCAGGGTCTGCACTATGCGTACGTCAGCACCACGGGCACTAAACACATCCAAGGCCAGATTAAAAGGGACAGTGTCAAAGCATTTGGCCAAATCAAAAGAAATGCCTGCCAAATAAAAGTTTTGGGTTTTCGCTTGTTCAATTTGGCTGCAAGTTTCGTACGCCAGCTGGTCTGCTGCTTTGGAGAATTTCCCACCATATGATTGGGCATGCTTCCAGTGTGGGAACCATGAAGTGGCTAGCTGATTGTGTCGAATGGCCGCCCATAGTCTATAAACACTGGAGAGATTGGTGATGGGTCTAAAATCACCAGGAGTGGGGTACATATTATCAGGCTCTTTAGGGATAAATGCAACAGCACCCTTGCCCAAATTCATGGGCCATTGATGCGCAGATTCAATGACATGGTACAAACTGGCTAGGTGCTTAATCATGACTGGGCACCAAGCAGCTATGAGTTGCAAGTCACGTGCTGAAATCTGGTCTAATCCCGGTGAGCTGTTTTTGGTTGATTTCAATGCGGATTCAATATCATTGGTGGTAATCGGATTAAGCGTATTTGAATGGGATTTGAGATGTTCCCCGTATTTGTCCATAAAGGCGCGAAAAGTTGGTTCGCCATTTTTATGTCTGGAGTAAATATCTTTCCAAACATTAGCAATTCTGTTTAAGCACACAGTATGTTCAGCGGTCATTTTGCCATCAACGGACGAGATCTTTACTGGAACAGCAGGGGATTTACGACGGATATACTGGAAAGCGGCTTTTTCATCCTTCCTCAAACCCCCTTTCCATTTCTGTATTCGCTTTTGCTTGTCCTTCAATTGTTCTTCATTAATGGCGTTGTCGATGATGTGTAGTGCGTGTTGACTGATTAAGGCGTCATTAAGGTCCTGCAACTTATCTTCACTTATAAACGGCGACACTTTTTGAATATTTGAAATGGTCTTATCGCGTCTTGTACCAGGGGCAGAAACCAAAACTTCATTCAGGCGGCAATGTGCTTTCCACAGCTGTCGACCGATCAACGTGCTTGCCTGTTGTCCGATAGTTTTCGGATGAAGTCTCTGCTCGTGAAATAAAACCTGTCCCCGCGAAGCTGCAATCTTGTTCTTCAGTTCATGATTCTGTTGGGTAGCCACTACACGCAAAAGTCTTTCAAGCTCCAATGACCATGACTTGAAAGCAGTGTCAACATCTTTCTCTTTAATAGATTGGTGGAACCGATCTGAAATAGAACAAACCAACAAATTAGAATAAGGTGATGGGAATTCTAAATTCTAAATTATTACGAGGCTCAACTGCTCTAAGACTGGTGCGCATCTGACTGCGTTTTGGAACGGTGAATTGCACAGAGACAACTGAGTGATCTTTAAATTCGGGGTATTTTTGGACGTCAAAATTACTGGATTGATCATATAATGATTGGGTGACGAAAATATGGTCAATCTGAGAGCCTTTGCCTTTATGACATGTGGGCCGTGCTTGAATAGAGGAGTTTGCACGTGTGCGTACATCAAGCCAAAATTGGGTGCTAAGATATTTTCTTATACAATGGGAGTCGCTCAGTTCGAGATTGAAGTCAACCATGAGTATACTTGGGCCTGGTCCTCTCTCAACTCTATCACGTTCAATTGCTTGCAACAATTCATGAAAATACTGCTTCTTGGGTCTTTCACATCGAGCTCCAGTTTTACCGTAAATTGAATATACGGTGGTTGTCACACCCCCTCGCCCCATCCATGGCTGACAGGCCACTAAACGACCTTCCTGATAAAAACGGTAACAGGGATGTGTGGAATCCCAGGAAAGTTTTTGAGCAGCCCAGAATTTGGCACGATTGGCAAGGATGTTGCAGTATCTATCAGGAGCGTTGCTACCCCAAATACAGAAATAAGATGGAAATTGTAAAGTTTCGGCAGAGACAAAAATGTTGCTGGAGATGAGTTTCGGAAAGAGCGTATATATCCTGCTTCAAATGATTCAGCTGAAGACGTTTTGTGGCCTCTTGCATACCTCCAACATTGATCATTGCACAACTTATTGTGTCACACACTTTAATTTTGTGTTGTTGATACCAAGAAGGCTTACCAGCTGTATTGCCAACCAGCGTATGCATAATTTTGTTCCTGCAACGGCGGTCAATGTGCCAGCAAGATATGCTTAGCTTCCGAAATCGCAAGAGTACATCATAAAATGGGATTACATATCTTTGCGATCCTTGGCTTCAGGAGTTTCACCAGTAGGACCGGCAGTCCTTTTCTCAGCTTTCCTGGCTTTCCTTATTGGTGAAGAATTTTCAGGTGATCTTTTTGGTTTGACTAAATCTTCAAAGAATTGCTTCCTGGTTGTCGAGCGCGCTGGCTGTGAGGGTACTGTTGATGATGTTGAAGCAGCTCTTGCCATATTTATGTCTTTGACCATCTGCTTTGCTTGAGAATTCAAGGCTGTGAGCTGGAGTCCACGAAGTGCACCTTGACAAAGGTAATTCATCGGACCATAGTGACCGATACCTCCAGCGAGGAAAACTGCGTGTTGTTCACCAACATAAAGGACTTCTACCTCTGATCATTTTTGGTCCACTAAAAATGCAAGTGCACCATGAATACCAATTCCCAAATGAATACCAGACAACTTAAATCGTCCAATTTTGCTGTGTCTTCAAGTTTGATCTCCTTGGCGGATTTCGAAAGGGCAGCGAGAGTGCGAAAGCGAACTGCGAAGCGCAAGGCTGTCGGAGGACCTTTTTGTGCCAAGCCCAATCCATCCTTGGCCTTTTCTGAAATGTTCAACGCTGAAGTCAAATCATTCTCTCCTCCTAACCACAACAATTCAAGCTCAGGAGAGCTACCCTTCTTTTCTTTCAAGAATATTCCTCGTCGGCCCGACGAGCGCATCAGTTCATCAACATATTGGGCGTGGCATAAGAAGCTTGCTGAAACCGATTCTCTTGGTTGAACATCGGAAATGGCATGTTCTGGGACGATCTGAGAGAGTTCCGCAACAATTATATTGGCCGGCATTTTCTGAACAGGCCATTGATGGTGAGGACTAAATTTCACTATCATCTCCTTCATTGTACTGTAAAGTTGCACCGTGGGTCCGACAAGCTTTTGAACCACATACTGTCCATATCCAAGTTGCGTGAGCCATTTTCTCACCTGCACATTCTTCCGCTCTGCATTTTCAGCCATGATGGAGTAATTACAGAAAACCTCCTGGCGAGGAAAGCCTCTTAGGCCTAAAAGGTCTGGGTTTTCACTGGTCAATATACCAACCGGCTCCTTTGTCCAACCCACATTTTGCAAAACCGTAGGTATATGAGTCTTGGGACAAATAGCGATGCCCCCCTTCGAGTCCAGATGTTGCCAATGGCATGTTCGAGCTGACCATTCGTTCGGGTCGAGTTGAGGCTGCTGGCGCATCAACGCCGCTTCCGGTAAAGCATGTATGACTTGCTGCAACAAATCTTCTGCTGAAGGCTCTGAATTTTGAGCAACTGGAGTTCCCATATCAACTTTTCCTTTTCCTCATGCTCTCCCTTTTCCTTTCATTTTGGTATCTGGCCCATTTCCGTTTTGAGCACGCATGTTTCGATTCCTCATCTTTCCAGTGATATGCCATCCGAGCTGAATATGCCACAACATAGAAAGGCCAACATACACGTATGAGTCGAAAGAGAATTCGCTTGTTTGTCCGATAAGGTCGTCTCCATTTATGTCTCCTTTTTCCCACAAAGCGAGCTTTTCGGAATCTACAGCGGCAGTGCGTCTGAAATCTCAAAGATGTAGCGTCTGAATGAGGTCAAATGATTCAAGAATGAAAATGAGAAATCATCAAGAGCTTTGTGAATGCATTTCAACCCTCCGCACGAAAAGAAATGGCACAGCAGGGCAATAAATAAATACGGAAAAGCAGCGGGCAGCTGCATAGGTTCGACAAGACTGCAAGGCCAAAAGGCCATGTGAAAAAAACATATGAGGATTTGCAAGGCTTGCATCAAAAATGCACTGTGTGTTGAGTCAAAAAAGACATCTGTGTGCACTGTCGCACCGCCCTCTACAACGTCACCTCCGGCATGCACACGGTCGTAGAGGGCAAAGGTGCCGGAAGGCCTGCTGGATCCCAGAAGTCGGGTCTTGCAGGAGCAATTGCCCGTAAAAGCGCAAAGGCTCCCATCTTGGCCAGCTCAGCCGATACCTTTGCGTCGAACCACGTCATCATTGGATGAACCTGGAGGTTGCGGATGCAAGGTGGAGCTACTGGCATTGTCTGCACTTGAACTGGGAATATCATGCTTTGAGGTCCTAAATTGGGACACATTTTCAGGGGTAGTCTTCTGGCGAAGACGCACTGATGGCACGACAGGGTCGGCACTGCGTTGAGGCGGCACAATGTTTTTCTGTGGGTGAATGGGTTTACAAATAGTGTTTCTCATGTTAGCTCTATCCTTCCATTTCCATGTTCGGCCACAAGCGGTGCAGTTGATCTTCCCTTCATCTTCCCTGCCAACGATCTTTCCGAGTTTACGATTCCATTCAAGGGTATGTTTACTTTTGGCATTATAGTCTTTTAGGAGCTTATCAAAGGCATCATCTAAACGTTTTTCACTCTGATGAAAACCCTCCTGTTCGAGAATAACTGTGGAATTCTTTTGAAGGCAGGGTTTGTTAGTGATCTTAAGACGAATGTGCTTAGACCGAGCTACATACTTGCCACACTTGCAACACCAAACACCAGGCTGATTGTTCTGTCTAGGCTTCAACATATGTCCGTTCTGGTCTACGGCCGGAACTTCACCATGCTCGGCGTTCTGGGACAATTAAGATCGTTTACCAGATTTATAATCCTGGATATAAGCTTGCCATATGAGCACAAGAGTTTGCTGTATGAGTCTGATCTGCTGATCTGACATAGTTAAACTGTTAGAAATGAGAGCTGCATATTGTGTGCATGTTGGTAGTTTTTGGAAATCGATATGAGCAATTGGCTTGCGAATGTCTGAAAAAAGGGGACAGGTCCAAGAGATATGTAAAACCGTGGGTTCTTGGCCGCATGGACATGTCATGCATTAAACATCCTTTCGGTGACGGGCATCTCTTTCTTCAGTCATGAGACCCCCAACTAACAACCTACGCAAAACTCCTTGTTGCATAAACACGTTCTCATCAGCTGTAGGCAAGGCTTTCCTATCGAGTTCTTTATACAGCATCATGGTTCCTGAAATCAAGGTCCTGGACATCATGGAAATGCTGAGGTCTGTTTTTGGCAGCCTTCTTTAAAAGTTCACCACGCCAGCAATCGCGCAATTGATGTGCCCAAAGTTCGGTGTTGAGCGAGCCGTCGTTGAGCAATTGCAGCACTAAATCTTTAAATGGGCATGCAAGTAATTTTCGAACCCGGTGAACTGGCCCATCAAATTTCCGGCTTGGGCGATCTCGAAGCAAGTTTTGAAAAGTACTGCGAAAGGAAGCATTTTTCAGGCATCGAGCAAGAGTGCGTAAACCTTGGTAGGTATGGCAAAAAAGAGGGTCAAGCTGCGGAGGCAATAAGATAGAAAAAGTAAGGTGAGGATTATGTGAGTAAAAGTCGAGAGAAAACATAGCTCTCATGATGCTTGATCTAATTTTGGTGAGAGATGGTTCATCCATACCAGATGTGTGCGTCCCCTGCCCATAGGTGGCCTGACTAGATGTAGCTACTAACATCTTAGCTTTCTCTCTCCAAGGGAGAGGGCAATGCCGCATCTTGCACACTGTAGTATGCCATTTAGCAAATCGGCCTTTTTCCACATCAGATACATTTGAACTTTGTCCCTCTGAGATAAATGATCCTCCGACAATTTTAAAGTTTTGGGAATGTTTGTAGTCAGGGTGGATTGGCTTTTTTAAACATGGATGGCCGAATGTGAAACTTTTGTTGATTGCAATTTCACCAAATTGAATTTCCTCGAGAGCTTGTACAATACGATTAAATTTTGCGATACTATGGACTAAATCATGAGTTGAAGGAGAAACGCATGTCGCTGACACGTCATCAGCGTACGTTCTGGCAACAACTTCTGGGCATCGAACTTGCGCTATTTCGAGAATGCTTGAACCTACGGCGTTCAAACCAATCATGGACAATGGGCAGCCTTGCAAAAGGCCATTATTAGCTACCCACCATGGCCCACAAGAACCACGTAATTTTAAAACTCGACGCAATGAAGAATACATGGCACTAAGTGGATTGGTGATTCTGCGGTGCATTCCCCTGGCAATCAAAAAGCACTGAAAAGCAATTCGAAAGGAACCAGATCGAAAGCCTTTTTAAAGTCATAGGCGATTCCTCCTGCTGCACTTTGTTGGTCAACAGCAGTTTGCTCGAGATGTAGGGCAATTTGCAAGCATAGGGCTTCGGCACCCCGCTCTGCACGGCATCCCCAGACTTCCGGTGGGCACCAAAGTTCTTGCCACTCAAGCGATGAACTGAAGCGGGCTTTCGCCCATAACCGGTATACTGCGCTTAGTACTGAAATTGGTCGATGTTCTAGGGGGCTTGGGGATTCACTCATACTCATACCTGTTTTTGGGATGAGCGAGGTGTACGCTTGACAAAGCGGTGTGGGCCAAACAGAATTTTCTTCAATCCAATTAAGGATTTCAGCTAAACCATCAAACAAAGATGGGAACCACACACTAAGTGCAATGAGAGACTGAGGCGTCCAGCCGTCTAGGCTGCGAGCACTGTGCTTACTTTTGGATAAAGTAGCGACTAGTTTGGATCCAGTTAAGGGTTCAAGATGCATAGGGGACGACTTCATGAATGGCACAAAGTGATCTTCAAACGTCTTAACATCGGGTAATTTGTTAGCAATTTTTTGGAAAACAGGTAGCCAATCTTGGTGAATAGCATGTAACTGTGCATCTGTGTTAGCGGTAGAAGTGCCATCCGGCAATTTCATAGTGATGTCCTCTGGTGAGTCTGGTGACTTTAACCACTTGTAGGCATTCTTTTCGGATTGCGCTAATTTGCTCTTCCAAGCTTTGATCCTAGACTGACGGTCTAGATGTTGAAAATGAATGTGGTTTTGATTGAGCAACGATTCACACGATGCGAGGCTGCTAGCAGAAATAGGTTGATCGAGGAACTGCGTAAACACGTTGCGGTCTTCATTTTTAAGCTGGGTACAACTTCACATAAGTTTTCCCATGTATTGCGACTTTGTGTGCCATGGTTAGAGAGTCGCTGGAGTTCATGTACTCTACCAAGGGCGCAGGCTATCCTCCGCGAGTGGAGGTTCAACGTGTGTGTGCATCATGTTGGCGAGGAAACGCGCATTGTTTTTGAAAACGAACCTGCCCACGATGTTTACCAGTGTCATAATATTGCACTTTATTAGCTTGGGAGTGAGGTATTTTACATAACCACTCTTGCGCCCTATCACACCATTCCTGAAATGCTCGATCAATGTTGTTCTTTTTCAGGTGACACTGGATGTGGGACACGCTGTCAATATGAGGCGGCACATAATCTTTTTGGACCAAATCATAGGGGACTGTGATGTGTTGATTGGGCTGGGCAATAACGTATCTTACTTGCGTTTTTGGAGAAGGGTACTTTCGGAAATCTGCACATTGAAATCTCCGACTATACACGCAAGGATGGACCCACGGCTGTTCAAGCCACTAGAGATATCACTGATCATCCCTTCAAGTTCATCTTTCTTGGATTGCTCCCATCTGGAACCAGCATGTCCATATAAAATGTAGATGGGAATTGAGCGGTCCCCTTTTCCGTAGAATATCTGTACTAAGAGGAGACGACCAGCGTTGAAATATTTTTCACACGGAGAATTGGTTAAAGAAACTTGTTTACTGTTCCAACATCCTTTCTTAACGAGTGCAGCAACGCCAGTTCTGGCGCCCTGCTTTACTGGGGCTCCCCAGAGGATGTTATAGTCACTGGCAACGTGAGGACGCGACTTTTGCATGTTACCAGTACAATGTGTTTCTACCAGGGCAGTGAAATCCTGGCATCGGCTCAAAATCTGTTCCCACCGTCCTTCAACTGCGAGTCCATTGGTATTGGCAACAATTAAATGAAAAGATTTATCTTGGGGCTGTTGACTATTCGGGGCGGTATTACCGAAAAGGATGTGCATCAGCTTGTTCCGCTGTTTTGACGAGAGCGCCCATTGCAAGAAGCATGTGAGACGTGTTAAAGAGCCGCATCTCCAGTCTTTTTTGGATCTGGGTCAAACCGGTCTTGTTTTGAGTTTCTTTGCGCTTGGGTGGATCTTTCTTTGGCGTCAAAACCTGCATTGCACTGAGCTGAGCCACAAAGGCCTGCTGCTTGGCAGCACGCACACTTTGCTTAGGTATCGCTGGATTTGCTGCAGATGATGCACCGGTATTTTTGGCTTTGGCTTGTTCTTTGGCAACACTGTTGAGGGCTTTGATGTGAAATTGTCTCTTCACTCCGGACTGCACGTAATAGCCGGATGCCAGTTCACCTGGCTGTGGCTAACCAAACGCCAGTACCATCGTCCACGTAGAGAACTTCCACTTTTTGAAAACCACGCTCCGTGAGCCATGCCAGTAGACCATAGGTGCCGACCGTATTGTCAATGCCATAGATTTTCCATCGCCCGAGATCAGAAACATCCAGAATGGAATGATTGGCTGATTGGCAGCAAACTCTTTGAGACTATTGACATCTCTGAAACGTATGGCGAATCTTGGGCTGGCAGCATGTCCTTTACGGACCACTCCAAAGGCATCCTGATGCTCTGCGAGTTTAACAGCATCTTGCAGTGACATGGCATCATCAAGCCAAAGAAGCAAATACCTTGAGCAGGAGAGACTTCTTTGTAAAATACAGAATGTTTCCCCGATGCACGAAGCAGTGTGTCTGTGAAATCGGAATGTACAAGACATGTTGCAGTGTCGTTGTGGCGAGGCCGAATTTCTGCCACAGCTTCGGAAGGAACATGGCGTTCTAATTCAGTGAGAACAAGGGAAGCTGGTATGGGGCCTTCTGGCCAACCCAAGGCAGTCGGAAACTTGCATTGAAAACGACACATCGTAAACATCATAGGTACTTCTTCCCCTTGCATGATCTGCTCAACAGGTGGACCCCAGCCTAATTGTACAACGTACCTTTTTGCACTCGTGATCACGCGTTCACCTCCGGGTCCCATTGTGCTGAGATTGACACGCAGAAACTTCCGATCATATCCGACCAACCCTAGGGAGTCCGGAGCTTGAGTAAGCACCGCCGCTATACTCCTCCCACTGAAACCAACCTGTCTGATGACTTCCGGTAGAAACACTTTCGGCACCACGGCAATAGCATCGCTTTTTCCTCATGATTGCCAAGGAAGCACCGCCACACTCCACTCAGAGTCAATGAGTGTTGTCTGTGTCCGGAGACGGGCGGCATCGGGTAATGCCATCTGCACTTGTTGTCTTATGTCCGCACAGAGGTCGGCCGAAACAAGGGGAGCAGCTTCAGCAGGTTGTTGCTCATTGCTGGCATTAGGTTTGCCAGGGAATTTTCCCCGACCCCCTTGCCTTTGGATTTGCTGCCACCATTGCCGTTCAGGCCATGCATCAGACGATTACGTCTTTTCCGTGTAATGTGCCACATGGAGGTGTTCAATTTACTGATCAATCGATAAGGAGACTGAAAAATCGACTCTCGATAAGAAAGGTGCAAAGCCATGGTGTCACCAAACTGCTTGGTAGACCACGACATCTGGATGCACAACATGATTCCAAAGATGGTAGTGGTCTGGCAGAGAAATCTATTGCAGCGTCACTTTTTGTTGATTCTCTTGTTGGCGTCTTTGCAACGCCTCTTCTGGACAGAACGACATGGCATTGGGTACATTGATATGGATCGACGCTGTGCTCTGGCACAGAGGTTGCAAATTGATGTCAAAATGAAAGAGAAACACATGACAAAGGCATTGCATTGATGGAAATAAAAGAAAGCAACAATCTGCATGGTGAGATGTGAAACAACGTCATCGAAGGGTTCGACCACACAGGTCAATGAGCAAAGCCAAAAAGGCTCGGAATAGAACATGAAACGACATGATGTGTGAAATGTGACTGGCACGGTGCTTGCGCTGTCTCATCTCGTCCTGATGCTCTCCCACCTCCGGTACGCAAGCGTCATCAGGAGTGAAAGATGCCGGAGGGCCTGCTGGATCCCAGAAGTAGTAGGGGCTTGCGGCAGCACCGATGCACGCAGCATCGCCACTGCATGCAAAGAGCTGGCTATCCGATGCCAGCTCTCGGATGTGTGTGGATTCCTGAAGACGATGCGGCGGAAGGCTCACAAACCGTTTGGGAACTACCACTGCTGGGATGGGTATATGTGAATGCGTAGGCGCGGTCTTGCCACAGATGCGCCTACGAGGAGCGGGTTCTGAACTATTCGAGGGTTGGTTCATATTTAAGTCTAAAACCCACTGAGGGGTTGGTTGACTACTGGGCAGTTTACGACAAATAGAACGAGGAATATTAGCATGGCGTTTACACCAAGGCCAGGTTCTCTGACATTTTTGACAGTAGATCCAACCATAACTGTCTGGTTTGGATTCGTCTCTACCTGCCTTCCGGTTCCAGACTAAGTCATGACCAGGTGTATTAATTTCTTCCTTAAGTTTACGTTCTTCTTCATCGAGTCTGCTTTCGGCTTGATGCTGACCAGGATTTGTCAGCCATTTGTCAGGTGGCAGCGCAGCAAAACGACAGTGAGCTTTAAGAATCTTCAGATTAATGTGCTTGGGAAATTTGGTATTGAGCCCGCATTTCACACAAAAGAAACCAGGTGAGTCAGATATAGGCTTTATAATGTGACCCTTTTTCTCTACTGGATTGTGGGTTGGAACGATATCAACTGTTGATGATGAAGAAGGAACGACATCTGGTGTTTCGATATGTGCGTCATCTTGGGTTCCACTGTTGAATGTGGTGTTGCCAAACTGTAACAAGACTATCCTGAATGATATGAAGATGCTTTTTTGGTTATTTCCATGTTCATTGGGACTAGAGTGCAGTACTGAAAACAAACGGGAAAATCTTCGATCGGTTTTGTCAAGGCTTGCAAGGCAGGTAATCGATATTCTTGAAATAAAGGACAATCCCATGTGATGTGATGATGGGTTGGCGATGCACCACATTTGCATTTAATAGTGCCTTTAAGCTTCCGGTGGCGATGGTTTGCTTCTGGATTTAACAAACCAGCTGTGAGCAACAGTCGTAGAATCTTCTGGCGTGGTCGAGGATCAGCAAATGAATCAGGTGGAGCTATTGAATTATTATCAATCTGCTCTTGTAGATGGTCAGCTTGCTTAGCCCAAGAAAATGGTGAGATTTTTGTTAATTCCACGCTGGGCTCCCGAAAATGCTTGTGGGCGGTCACGTGCGAGGTTATGCCATATATGATTACGCCAACTTTCTCGAAGCAAGTGCTGTGCGTTTGGGGTTGACCTCACACCGTTCAAAAAGTTATTGGTCGCTTCTTGGAAAGCAGGATGTTCACGAAGTTGCTTGGCTCTGGCTGCTGGACCATCGTGCTTAGACGATGTGCTGGCAATGAGGCGAGCGAATGATTCTATATCTTCTGGTGATTGGTTGGCACGTTGCATCAATCGAAGCGCATTGGCATGAAGGCAGAATTCTGGATCTAGTGATGGGGGTGCTATTATTGCAAATATGGCTAATGGTGAGGCACAGTATTCATCTTTATTCAAGAGGCACCAGACTACGTTAGCTCTCATTGTTCTTAGTTGGTCTCTATCTAAGGCTAATCGGTGTGTTCCGTGTCCCCAATGGAGCTGAGGAATTCCTTGCTGGAGAATTTTTACTTTTGTGAACCATCCTACCGGTAAGGTGCGAACAGCTCGGGTAGTGGTGGTCCACTTGGATGCTCGTTGCTTTTCGAGGTCAGTCCAGCATTTTTGTTGCGTCACTTTCACAACGCCTCCAGTGAGGCGAAAAGTTTCTTTATGCACTGGGATGGAGGGGAGCAAATTTTTGAGGGCAGGGTCACCAAAGGTAAAAGTTTTGTCATTATTTATTTTTAAACCAGTGGATGCTGCGAAATTTTGGGTGCTCTGATGCAATTGGCGAATATTTTCTTGAAGATCAGTTTTGCGTTTTTGGGAAACAGTGGCAGATAAATCATCTGCGTAACTGCGGCTTTGGATAGCAGGCATGTGCTGGTGAATGGATTCGTGCCAAGCCGAAATTAAACTAGTTAAAATCAACATTGATAATGGGCATCTGTACTATGCCATTGCTGGGTACGAAGGGGTTGTCGAAATGGCCATCAATTTTGAAGATTTTTTATGACATGAATAAAAACTATCTAATGCAAGACAAACTTTATTGTCGCAACCTCTGAAACGGAGAATGTTTACTGCTAGTTTGGTTGGTACACGGTCAAAGCATTTTTCAAAGTCGTAGGAAATTCCTCCATGGGTTTGGCCAAGTCGGTGAGATTGTTCGATTTCTTTGCATGTATGATAAGCAAGAACGTCAGCTGCAGGTTTATTTTTGACACCATGTGTAACTGGACGTAGCCAGGCCGGTTGCCATTGAATCATTAGTTGTTTGTGGCGCGTTGCTGACCATAGCCGGTAAACCGCCGAAGGACAGTGATTGGGCGGTGCTGTAAAGGCGTTGCTATGCCTCCTTCAACATCTTTAGGTATGAAGCTAACTGCGCCGATTGTTAGTAAGTCAGGCCAAGGCATTCCATTTTCGATTTGATTTAGCAAAGTACACAGGTGTTGAAACATTGTTGGACACCAGAGGGAGAGGCTGTGCAGTTCATTTCGGGTCCAGCGATCTAAGCTGGGGCTGGAATTGGCAGTATTACTGATTTGGGAGATCAAATCTTCGGGGGTTAATGCAGGTAAATCGATCAGTGCACGTTGGAGGGTGGATCCAAATTTTTGCAAAAATTGATGAAGTGAAGGTTCACCATTTTTTGTGAGCTGTGAAAATTTTGGACCATGCTTGGCGAATGGCTCGCATACGACGGTTACTGTTTGCCGTTTCACCGTGATCTGTTGTACCAACAGCAAGGATATGCTTTTTTATTTCTACTTTTCAACCATTTGGCAGTGGATTGTTCGGAGGACCGTAATTGTTTCTTCCAGCGATTTAGTCGTGCAATGCGGTCGAGGCAGGAAATTTTTGAAACGATTTGTTGCAGCAAAGCGATTAATTGAGAAAGATCATCCTGTGATGGCTGCTGAGATAAAAGATTTTCGGCTTGCAAACGATTTTCTTGGGGAATATGTGAAAGTACTTCTGGTAACTTTTCCCAAGTATTATCCCGGCAGTGACCAGGCGCGGCAAGCTGCACCTCTTTGGCTCTGCACAAGGCTTTCCAAATTTTTCGATCCTGGAGAGTGGACGCTTGACCATTGATGATTTTGGGGTGTGTTCTGGTGTCAGAAAATTTGGCGACACCACGCTGTTGCTTGTGGGGTTGGCAACTATGCCCCTGGCGACGAGCCACTTCACAAAGAAGATTTTCTGCATGCGCTGAACATATTTTGAAGGCTTCAGTTGTTTGCCCACTATTGAGTGTAGAATGAAATTTTTGCGGGATTGTATCTGGAAGAATTTGCTCTTGGCTGCTAGGAACTTGAAGTTCAGGAATGACAACTGACATTCTCTGTTCTGTGAACTTGACAAGCTTTGGGCACAGCGAGTTTAACTTCTACAAGGGAATGATTTGAACTGAAGGGAATTTTCTTACTTTGGTAACCACTGGCAAGGTCGAAAGCGCACTTG